TAATCTATATAATATCATTACAAACAATCAATATTTTACTCGGATTGAATAATTTATATAGATAATAAATACGTTGTTGTGTTTGAAGTTATATTTTGTGTACGTTCAAAAACTATAAAGTTTAACATGTGGGTAGTAGGCACTCAATATTGTTACTGTACATTTCAATTATTAGTGTGTAATTTACGTACTTAGGTATGATATAACTCACAATCACAATAATATAATGTGGTAGAGTGTTATTCATCGGATCGTCTAAATTGGGCAAAATATGACGTGATCTAATAACATCACTCACCAGCCTTTTACGGATAAACTGAAACCGTTATAGACATGAATATCTCGGAAACATCGACAATAATGGCCATACACAATGAGTTCCTGGAATATAAATTTAATATATTATATTATAGTATAATATTATATAATATACTTGGTAGTTGGTATATATAGTCTATTTCACGAGAGAATAACCAGTCCGCCGACAGATTCTATTCAGAGCCGTCCACCAACTTCCCTGTGTTGACGTGATCACGTGGTTTTCGAAGCCCCAATCGAATCATTCGTGATACGCGAAAAGTGATTATTCTCTCGTGGAATAGACTATAATATTATGCAATTTATGGTTAGTTATCAATACCTATTTATAATGCATAAGTTTATATGTCACACGATCAACACTGTACCGTAAGAACGGGATACTTTACTCCAGGGGTTAAACATTGCTCCAAAAAAAATATTCATTGATATCAATCGTAGCACATTACGATTTTGAGATCAGAGATTGTAGTTTTTTTATATTATTCTTATTAACATTTCTAATTTTTTCAAACATTACGAACATCAATCTATTAGTTTGCCTCCAAGATGTATGTCATGAAAAAAATTGTTTTCAAAAACACAAAAACCCCTATAACGGAAAAGTTATACAAAATCTAGGGGATTGAAATTTAATTTAAAATTTATTGAAAAAAGACTTTTAATCAACTAAAAAAAAAAAAAATATATTATGTATAGGTTCAAATAAGTTAAGACACAAGCATTAAACATTGCCCCAATAGTTATTATATGCATTGAAGTAAGGTAATTTTAATCATTGTGCAATGTAACCTGCAATGTATTTTAACTGTGCTCCAAACTTTTGGGAATAAGTAAGTAAGTCACTAGTACGACATTCGGATTTTTTTGAATTGTTCTTAAATCTCAACATCTATACATATAAAACAACGCGAACGGGTAATTTTTATCTTTGTTATTGAAGCTATAGTATAGGTTCTAACTAAAAAAGAAATATTTGGAGCAAAGTATATCCCGCTCTTACGGTATACAAAAAGACTGATTTTTCAACATGAAATTGACCAGATAAATTATTTTCATGGATTTGTGACTTGTGTACGGGAAATTCAAGGAATTATAAATCCATTATAAGTAAGTCACTACAGATAAAAAGCTCAGAAGTGCTCAGGTAATGATGATATTCATTGTTCAGTAGATTGTGATCTAATCGATCATGATAGTTTTGACGTTATGAACGATGAAAAAATATCCTAAATGTATACTTTTATAAAAGAGTATTATATAAGTTTATTAATTATTTCTGTACTATTTGCAGCATTCAACATTTCAATCAGTAGGAACGGTTAGTCGTGATAATCGGAATGCCATTAATACATTATTAAATACTACGTATCTTACCATAAATAACCTATATGTATGGCAATATTTTATATACAATGATAAACACCTCAGTTGAATTTTATTTTAATTGGTTTAAAATATAATAAAATAATATTGTCTATTGGTATCAAAGTATAATGTGATAATAGTTGGTCAAAATTCATTGTATACAAATGTAGAAAATCCAAAATATGTAGTTTTAGTACAATTTCGTATTAGAACACCTTAGCCACAACTGTGAACACCTGACGCCAAAATATTATTTTATTAGAACATAAAACAATAACATATTATTAAAGAAGACAAAATAAAATTAAAATAATATAGGTATATAACCAACATATTAATATTATGTTACTGTGTATGGATGGCCCTATCAGACGACTAAAGTAGGTACTATACACACACATCGCTACTACCACCACAGCCCTGTGATAGTATGGACTAGGTTTGCCTTTTAGCTGGTCACCCCCTGGCCCCTTGCCATCACAAATACAAACGCAAAACAACCTAAAACATAAATTGATAGTGCCATCAACACCACGTGCTACAAACTCCTGCGCACGTGTACCTACAAAAAATAATATTACCACGCCACAACGATACCTACATAAATGAAATGTTATATGGCTTGTGTATTGTTTTTATGCTCAAAAACAATAAAAAAAAACTGCTTGATTACGTTGATAGTATTTTAAGCAGGAAAGAACGCTAGGCCCCTAGGACCATGACCGAAGTGTGTTTTTTAAGTTCCTAGCTAAACATGATCGTTTTCGCTGTACATGGGTTATCATCAACCCGACGGAATCCGGCATTCGGAAGACGGCGAAAATAACTTCGATTTTAAATGAAAGTGTTTATAGGGTTTGACTCATTTCCGTATCAGAAAGTAGCCGTTTTACGATGTAAATATTTTATTGGAGTCGTCAGGCGATGAGGAACGATACACAGAGGAAGAGTATATAAAATATAATAGCCAACAGTATATACACACTAAATAAACGCGAACGCAGAGACGTGCGTTTCCAAAAATGTATATTGTAAATGCATTTGACACTGGGTCATAAAATGAAGTCGAAGGCGGATGACTAAGAGCACTTAGAATGATAAAAAAAGCTATAAAAAGAAAAAGAATAATTTGGGTAGATTTTAAGTGAAAGAAGTTAAATATATTTTGCCCACCGGGGGGAATTAAGTAAGGAAAAGTTTCTTGGAAAAAAATGTAACAAAAAAATAAGAAACTTGGGTGTTAAATTACTCGAATGGAAATAATGTAACATAATAATACCTAATAAAAAAAATAAAGAATTTTTTTTAAATCGTTTTCTGTGAAAAAAAATGTATCGAGAAAGTTGAGTATTAATTCGACGAATCAAATCGTGGATAGGGGGCCGTCGTAAATGACACTTATTTCTGTTATTTTTCGAAACTCTATTGTGTGGTGGTAGGTATATATTATTAAAGAAGAGGAGGAGTATTTGGTCGTTTAATTGTATACTACTCTGTCTGCGACACTTTTAAATTATGAAAAAAATCGTTTTTCAAACCATTGTCCAAGAAAATCTATAGCTCTATACGGGGGCGGAAATAAATGCAAAAACTAAAAAAAAAAATTGGAGGCGTATATTATTCTTTTGACTAAATGTGTAAAACTTTGACGAGGCGAAGAAGTCACGAGATTAATGAGGGAACACTGTATACGTTGTTGGTTCGTGGCACTGCTGTTGTCATCCAGACGAGAATTTAAAAAATTGTTTTCCTACCTGTATTCAGCTTTTCAGAATATCGAGAACGAGAGATATTTGTAAAAAAAAAAAAAGTAGGAAAAGTTCAAAACTTTTAAAATCCCGACATCAGTCTTTGACGTTTTAAGCATTCATTGAAAAATAGATTTGAGTTTTTTTCTGTACGATGCAGTGGAAGACTGTGTTGACTATTTTTTTATCGTTTCAAATTATTATATAAATAACAACAAAAATTCATCTAGTCTGCAAAACTATGATGTTAATTTTCTAAAATTACAAATATCAAACTAGACATTAACTATGTAATGGTATACCGTATACCCAACTAAAACTGTTCTTTTGGAGGCAATCAAAAAAAAAAATACACACTTACATGCACGAACAAAAACATGGCAGAATCACGTGATAACATAAACACGTTAGACACACGAGTACGACATATAAAGCAGGGCTTAAATCCAAAAAAATAATACCGTTTACCGTTATATGGATATCAAACGTTATGACCAAATTACTGTTTAACGTTATATGATATTAAACGTTATGATCAATTTAGCGTTTAAGGTTATATGATATTAAACGTTATGATCGATTTAGCGTTTAACGTTATATGATATTAAACGTTATGATCGATTTATCGTTTAACGTTATAAAGAATTTAAACGTTTATAAAATGTTCCGTTTAACGTTTAAACGTTTTAAATATTAATTATTTATAACATTTAAACTTTATGAAACACTAGTCTTGACTCTTGAAAAATTGGGGAAGGTTATATAATTCTAGTTATAACTTATAAATTATAACTTACTCATTACTTTTTTTTGTTACTAGTTACTTCAAATTTATATTTTATAATTTACGTATAATGAAATATATATAAATATTAAATTGCAAGATAAGTACACGATGACACAACACATCATAAATTCATAAGTGATATATTATAATAACTAATAAGTATTTGTGATTATAAATTAAAATTCATAAGTCATAACATAAAACTATAAAAGTACCAAAGAAAGAATTTTAATAAGATAAAAATAACTTCTTAAATCTTAAATGGAGTCACACGGTTGACTATGACTCCCATAGAATTCAGTTTGATTCATAAAAAAGTGCAAAACAAAAATTGTGTGGTTCTAGTGTTCTACACTTTCTTGTTCGATTGTGTCATCCAAATTCCAATTTCCAACTAGGTCCCACTTCAGGACCGCACATGTCTCCTCTTTGAGAAGGGGAGTAGTATCATTATGCATATAGTGTGATGTATTATATATACAATATACATATATGAATAGATCTTATGATCTCCCTACTAGGTACCCATTTGATATGAGCATTGACAAAGACCTCGAGAACATTTCAATGAACAAATACAGAACAAAAATTATCTTAAGATTTTGGTTATTTGAAACTTTTACACTTATCAACTTAAAAGTTAAAAATGCATACATTATAATTTATATTTTATATAACTAATACAGGTAGGTAAACAGCATTTAGGTACTAATATACAATAAGAAAATAAAAATTAGAAAATTAGATTTTTCAACAAATTTTAATTTTAATTGTAAAATTCAATGACTATTTCCTCGTATTATTAATATGTTTTCAAGTATATCTTTCCCAATTGAACTTCTCTGATCAGATAATATAAATTTTAGTCCTGAGAAGCTTCGTTCTACACTCACCTAAACAAAAATAATTAATTTAAAAATTAAAAGATAATACAAAATCTGTAGTATAATATAATTATTATGTGTGCCACTGATAGATACTATATGAATATCTCTTAACTTCTTTAGAATAAAAACCATTTACATATAAAATAAATTAAAATGTTCATAAATCATAATGTCATTTAAACATGAACCTGGTTATGCTAATACATAATAATACTTATAAATTTTAATTAATATAGTGACTTATTTTTTAACAAATAAGAACAATTAAAAATGTTCTTAGCTGTGAATTTAACTGTTTATTATTTAATATTTAAATATAATACTTGTGTGGCTGGTACTGCTAAGAGTATTTGGGCTAATTCAAATAATTCTGGCATCTCATTTTTTTTTTCAGTCCAAAACTTCACAACATCTTCCTTATAATTTAATCTATCGGATTTAGAAAACTCTTCCAATTTTCTTTTTAATGTAGTATTATTAGAGTCTTGAGAAGAACTTGGCAAACAGGCATTTTGATTACGTATTGTAATTATATTGGAATTGTTTTGTAGGAATTTCTCAAAATCATCACCATCATCAGCGTCATCTTCAACATTTGTTTCACTTTCATCAGTGATATGATTATCTGGTTGTTCAGTTGAATCTATTCCTAAATTCTAAAGAAAGAAAAATAATTTTTCCAACCATTAGGTAGTTTAAACTTTAAAGTTTTACATATTAATTTTTTATAAGAATAGGAGTAGGCCTTATAAGTTATAACTTTTAATTCAATGAACAAAATAAAAATAAAGTACATTTCATCAATAATCATATCTACAGATTAAAAAATATTATTAACATAAGTGACTTTAGAGTTAATATCTTTGTTATTATTTTATTTTGGAATTTGCAGTAATGTAAAATTGTTTTTTTTTTTTTTTGAGGGCTTCAGGGTTTCATATTGATAATTTATAATTGATCTTTTAAAATTTAAAAACAAGTAAAACTAAAAAACGAAGAAGTTAACACTAACTTATAAGAACAAATCAAATTATTGTTATAGGCTCCTAGTTTTTGCTCATAAAATAATAAGTTGATTGAACATAATATAGCCAATATAGGTGTGTTATTGTGTTAAAACTTAAAAGTTAAAACAAATTTATGTTGTTTATTGATTTATACCTCAATACATGTTAATGACTCTTTTAAATCCCATATTTTCAAAAGGTAGTTGACAGCTGTTTCTTGTTTTGGAACAGTTAATAAGCACATAAACCGTGGATCCATATACACAGCTTTAAAATAAAATTCAAAAACACAATATTATGTTTAAATGTAATATACCTACAATGTGTATAATATAGTGGACAGTGGTATTATACTATTATCTACCTGAAATAAATATATCATTTTCCAACAACTGTACTTCACGAGTTTTCATATAATTTAAAATAGATAATGATACTGTAGAACTAATTTGATTTAATTTATTTTTGGTCTGGATCCAAATCCCATAAAAATCTCCTATAGTTAAATCTTTCTTTTGAAGCAATTTCGTAGCGAAATAAACTGGTTCAAGAGATTTTATCTATACAAAGTTTGAAATGTAATAACAAAAATGGTAGGTACTCAATTTTATAATTTATAATATATTACCAAACATTCAATTCGTTTCCATTCATTTAAGTTTAACTTCAAATCATGGTTTATCTGTTGATGATCTTCACAAAAAGTTTTGAGTTCAAGTAATCTAAGTAACATTACATACTTTGAACTCCATCTTGTAATATTATCAAGTATAGCCTGTTTTAAACCATCTTTTTTTAATAATGCAACATACGACTGGGTTCTAAGTGTTTTCACAACCTATATTTGTATCACAAACAAAAAAATCAACTGATTAAGAAAATAATTATTTAAGATGAAAAAACTTTTAAAGATTTGAATAATTATATATATAATAATATAGTAATAACAAATAAAGAATCATTTTTTAAACCTTGTAAATGGTTCAGTTATTTACTATTTAATGCTGTTCTGCATTTTTATTTTATATGAAAAGAAATAGGTACATAGTATATACAAACATATAATACCTATAGGGCATAGGCTATAATATATATTTATGTATAAATTGAAAACCCATTTAAAATTGAATATAATAATACCTGCTATTGATTTGATCATGAATATGTTAGTCAAGTAATAGGGAATCAATCAAAATGATGTTCAAGTATAAGTTATCAAATAAGAATTTAAAACTCTTATAATGTACCCATGTTAGTAGATCATAATATTACAAGTTATAACAACTGGAAATCATAGTTTGATTACCAGATATGATTATAACTTATAAGTTATAACATGGCTTATATTTTTAAGTAGGTATAAAATCAATGATAATTCACATACCTTTCGTGCTTTTGTTATGATGTTCAAGTTCGCTGGTTGTTGAAGCCCATTCTCTATACATAATTGCAATGTATGTGCTGAGCATCTAATACATTGAGTAAGAGGTAACGGTTCATAATAGGGATTAAGAACTGTAGTTATCTCATGTTCTAAATTGTCAGCATCTAAATTTACTTCCGGTTCATTAATCATATCATTGACTTGATGGTCCGATAAAAGTGCATCATCGTCTATACAAAAAGTTGAAAATGTTACAAGATAAGTAAATATTATTTATAGCCGAGAGTACAATTTTTAATAAAAAAATAAAGTTTAATATTGTAGTTACCATTTGGGTTAATATTTTCTATTTCCTCACTCTCAGATTCATCATCAGTAGTTTCTTCATTTTCGTTGAATATTCGAACCATTTTAACGATATTTGCTCCATTGTCACACGTAATCGAGAACACTTGACGATTATTAATGTTAAATTTTTTTAAAATTTGTATCAACTTAAAAACAAATATCAAAAAAATTAGGAATATTAGAGAATATTTAACTAAGTAAACTTGATAAATTAAACTAAAGAGGACATTATAGTTGAAATCAGGTATATAGGTATGTATTACTTACCACTTCTTTCAAATGTTCAGATGTGTGTCTTTCAGATAGTTCAGTCATTCCAATGGTTTTTATTTGCAATTGCGAATCTTTGAAATACTGAATATTAACACCAATAATAGATCTATTCAGCCTTGTGACACAGTCAACTTTAAGTGAAATCAATTTTTTGTCTACATCTTGAGTTATATTATCAATAATGGTTTTGGCATATTCATTTATATATTTTTTTATGTTTTGAGAGTTTATTTTGAAACCTTAAGTAATAAACCAAAGCATTAAAAATAAAAATTAATAAAAATATTTAACTGACAATATTAATACATTGAAAAATCTGAATTAATATCCAACAAATTTATTTTTGGGTTATTTGAAAAAAAAAACGCATAGCCACTCAGTGAACCCTTGGTTAACTATCTAAAGACCCCCTAGTAGTACATGAACCATCGGTTAAAAACTCACGGTCTAGAAGAATACTTTCCAAAAAAATACAACACTTATCGTGGAAATTAGTTATATTATAAATAACTCACCGTCACCGATAGCTTCAAATATAGGATTCATAATCATTCTGAAACCAGAATCATCTAACAATTGGAATGGTCTACCATTTGTGGTAACTAATTGGACACAGGACTCTATCACTTTATTCTTGTTCAAATTTACTTGACTTAGATTTTTTTTAGTTCTGAGAATCATATTGTCAAGAGGTCCAGTTTGATCAGTTTTTAGTTTCTGAAAATTGTAGAAAATTATAATAATTAATATCAAACAAACAATCGAGAGTTAGCAAATTTTAAGATTATGGTGGTAACTAAAATATTCAATTTATTTCATAAAAACTAAAATTAAAACTACTAACCTTAGCTGTTGAATAACGTCCATCATCATTCTGATGTTTTTTGTTTTTTTCATTAGTTAGCAAAATATACTGTTCTTTATGAAAATTTTTTATATGGCTCTCTAAATTTCCAGAATGATTTCCGGTGCGAACAGGATTTGCACAATTCAAAATTTGGCATGTACTTTCGTTGCTGTGAATATCATATTTAAAAAACATTCGTTCTACCGGATTGGATTTAATTTTCGGCATAATTAATCGATTAAACAATTTTATTTTATTGTAATAAGATACTGTTTAAACTTTAAACTTTAAATACTATAATATTATATATTTATACAACACAATTTTGTGAAAATAACAAAAATTACACGTTAATCGAGTCTACTCACAAGTGTATCTCATACGCCGGACTCTCGAACACAATGAACACATTAACAAAGATATAAAAATATATAAATTGCGCTTAAATTTTGTGAACAATGGTTAGTCAAAAACTAAAAATAACTCATGTGATAATGAAATATAAATTGAGTGGTTTACGCCATATTATCATATATTATACTTCTTTATCTACGGATAACCATATAAAAGGTGAACATTTGTCTATTAGTTGTACTTGTGTTCAGACCAACTAATAAGGGCCAGTTTTACCACGGTTGGGGAGAGGGGGAGTTTTGTGGCATACGTGAAATAGGGAATGGTAAACAAGCTGACCCCGCGCAGAATACCCCACCATCGTCTTGGAACCATTTTCATTATATTGGTAACCTTTGGGTCTAACATCATGTTAGTGCACGGAACAATTTCCTTGTTTTTCGGAGGTTCAGACTTCAGATGGTAGAGAACCAAGCCCCAATCAGCTGATCGAGTTTCGCTTCTATATTGTTCTATGGTGTTACCATCTCCGGTTAATACTTAATAATCGGTTAATACCTAACCTAATAGTCAGCAGCTGATAACAGATTTATACCTACCGAAGTCCGAATTCTGTTAGCAGCAGCCAGCATTGAGTAGATGCCTGATGCAGTCTACAGACCACGGCCATTACATTTTATGTAGGTGATACTATGATGGTAGTTACCTCAGTTTGTAGTATTTTTGTACTTGATATGCATTGCATTTGCATATAACTTAGGACATTATTGGTTTTTATTTTTGTTTGTTCTTCGCGTCGGGATTTATGTTTTTCTCAAAATAACGAAGTTTTCTATAGGTACATATTATTAATTAGGTAATAAACGTTATTTATAAAAAGTAACAATAAGTAATAACAATAATATTGGTACCATAATATTATTATCATTATTGTTACTTTTTATAAATACATTACTAAGAAATGTAGAACCCGTTGAACGGGTAATACTATTTAGTATTTACCCAGACATTATTTATAAATATTTTCTACTTTTGTAAGAAAGCCTAATTTTAATATTGATAATGGGTATTATTTCTTTGAAATATTTATGGCTATTTTAAACTTTCATAGTTCCATGTACATTTAATTAATTTTGATTAGTACCTAATATTAAAGTCACTTTATTATTATAGTCCTATCAAGTATCAACCAACAGTTCTACAAAACTAACTAAATTCTAATTATATTCTATAGATAGTTTTTAATATTTTCGTAATTTCCTTTGTTGTCTGACATGTTTGTTATGATTCAACTTTTAATCGTTAATCGTTTTTTGTTGCGTTATTCGATATTAATTTTAATCGTTTATCGTTACTGTTCCGTTATCCGTTATCCATTTCAATCGTTTATCGTTTCTGTTCCGTTATCCGTTATCCATTTCAATCGTTTATCGTTTACCGATATGTTATCCGTTATTCGTTTCAATCGTTTGTCGTTTACCGATATGTTATCCGTTATCGATTTCAATCGTTTTTTGAATCGTTTAACGTTATAATCGTAACGTTATGAAAACGTTTTGAAGCCCTGATATAAAGGAAGCAAAACAACTAGTTTATGATGTGATTTTCACTCGCCTAAACGCCGAAGTAATAACACTGATAAGTGATAACCAACCAACTCTGAAAATCTATAATACGAGAAATGAGTATAAATACAGGTGAAATCGACTGGAGAGAATCTCAATTACATTTTCAATAATATCACTTAGTGCCAATCTTCCCGAGTTTTCATCACGCACTGAAAAATACAGAAAAACAGCAATACCTTGTTCCACGAAAATCTACTTTAAACGCATCCCCAAATCTGCGATATCGATCATACAAAAACATCCTCTTCCAATGAAAAAATTGATTTCTCGATTGGGCACAATCCTGAATAAAACGGCGAACAACTGCAGTCATAATATATAGCAGGTATATGAACGACTTCGGTATATACCAAATATACGTTAAATCAAGGTTAAATCAAAGGAGAGAATCAAAATATACAGTTCAAATTCAACTATCATTAATTGGTTAGGTTATGTTTAGTTGGTTGTTATAGTTCGTCCAATTGTTTGTGTTCATTTTTTTTCCATTTTTCTTCCTTCCGTTCTAAACCTGACCGTCCGTTTTCAGGACTAAACTCGGAACGATTTAAGCATGGGCCGTTATTGGTCATCATAAATGCACAGCTGACAAATCGCTGTCAAACTCTCGCACAAATTCAGCTAAGTCAACTATAAATCGTCGATCTCGTCAATCACGGACACATAGGTTTCCATGGTATTTCACGGTGATGACAGTCTCGCTAACACCTATATGTACAACATTCTAACTCTAACTCTGAGGAAATCACCACTTTCCTCTGGTCAGGCATCTATGATCTATCGTTACCTACCGATTGCACTCTTGGCCGGCCTCTCCCCTGCCAATTATAATATTATATAGGTGTATCTCAGTTTTTTGTACAACTCAGTTCTCAAAAAATCAGCGTTAGTGTACTTAGCTTTGTGAAATGATTCAAGATAGCAAGTGGTATAGTTTTTAACATGGTTTAGACTACTTACACTTTAAACTTTTCTGATATCTCTAAATATTTGTTTGTGGACCTCTTTAAAATACTAATTTTGGAAAATCCTTTCTTAGTGGGTATCTACACAATAAAACGAAACTGCTGACCAAATGTCATATTCGTGGCTTCGGTGGTTCTGGGTAGGCGGTGATGAAACAGCCAGGACTAATTTCTACTATGACTACATTAATTATAATAATAAATTACATAATAAATTGCACATCTGATCATTAGAGAAACCACTATTCCAAATTTCAAGTTCGTACTATTTGTAGGTTTTGAGATGTAGTGACCAGTGAGTGAGTGAGCGGTACTTGACATTTACATATTATATACTTACAACTTAGTAATACAATAGGTCAACACTTAACATGGGTGAACATGGTACTTGAGTGAAAATCTTTTTCGTATGTAATGATTTATTATTGAATATAAATGCAATACATAACTACTACATTGATCTACTCAATGACGAGTTACAAGTCTTAGTACAGTAGAGCGATTTCTATTTTCCCGGTATTTACTTTTAATCCAGCATAATATTATTTTAAATCTTTGACCTTTCTCTCGGTAACGGAATTTCAGAAAGTAATCAACAGACTAATAATTACTATTTTCTTTAACTTTCAAAGAACTTCCTTACGTATACCTAGTATTTAAATTAAATAATTTTAAATAATTCAGTTTAACGAAAACAATTTTCCTTGATATGAAAATAAGTTTATTTTGCAACGAAGAAAACTAATTTTTTGTGTTAGTAAGCAGATCTTCCAAGTTTTGACAAGTGGTTTAATCAAACATAATATATATATATTTAGTTTTACCTAAATTTTACGATGTGGAATATTGTAATTTGAAAAATGTTAAGAGTTGGAAATTCCTTAGTTTTACAAATGCTTTTAAGACGTCATATCCGCATGCGTTGTCTCAGTCTTACAAACATAGGTATAGCATAGAAAATTATATGTTATGAATAATTCATTTAAATCTGTTATGTTTAATTTTATACTGAATTGACTTATTTCAAATTTAGAAGGAAGAATATAATCTAGTCAATGACCTAGGTTTATTTTTATATTTTAATTTTAAAGCAAGTTTTGATAATTTTTTAATACTAAATTGTTTTGCTCATTACTTGCTTTAAAATTCAAATATAAAAAAACCCACATTACCAACTAGATTATATTTTTACTTCTAAATTTGATAAAATGTCAATTCACTCTAAAGTTGAACATAACAGAGTTAAATGAAATATTCAGAACTTACAATTTGCTACGTTAAGGGTTTTTAAGACGGAGATAACTCATGAATGTATAGCGTCTACTTAAATTCTAAAACAAACTTTTAGTTAGTATTTTGTGAGATAGGTGCGTGTACCATTAAAACATAATTTGACAGGGTCTTTTAAAAAACATTTTTTTAAATTAATTCTCGATTATTATATATGTCTGACTTTTGTTTGTGACTAATGTACATTATTCAATAAATATTAACTTTATTATAATAAATGAATTGAACAAAATAATATTACCGATGTACACGTAACCACATAAATATAACTCTGTTTAGTATAATATTACACAACGATTAGTATAGATTGATCAAACCACTTATAATTCCACACTGCAAGTTAATAAACTGAAATGAAAGATGGTTTTTATTAATGGAAATAAGATTATGACAAAGTCTATCATCAACATTTTTAATAAATATGCTGTTTCTTTATTTCTAAATATACAAAATAATATATAATGGCATTCAATATTTTAAAACTTGACTATTTCCTACTTATAACATTTTTGAAGAATTAACACGAGAATAATAAAAACAAAAACCTTAAATACCAGTTTAAGTAAAAAAATATTGTATTTTGTTATTCAGTAGCTTGAACTATGTTTTACTAAAACAATCGCATATGTCTTAAAGGTCAGTACTGTCTTACCGTAGAGTAGTGTGAATAGGTTAATGGTATAACAGCTTCATATTATTATTTTATTTCTAAATATTTTGAAAATTAAATTAATCATAGGAAATATAAACTTACAATATTAGTTATAGCGTTATATTTCATGTTTAAACAGTTTGAAAAATTCAAAAATCCTTATTTTTGGTTAGTATAAAATGTAGTTTTAAGTATTTTAATCATTATTATTATTTTTACCAAACTTAAATATTTCATGACATTTAAAAAATCAAATATATATTATGTATAATGTATTTTAAGACTTAGATACTACGTTTACAATCAAAAAAAATAGCAGCCTAAGGACAATTTATTATT